CCTAGTAGTGACCAGGGGGGAAGAGGCGGGGCCAGAAGCTGTGAATCGGTCCCTGTAACCACAAATGGGTGAGTACACACACGTACACACACATCCACAGACAGACACAGACAGACAGACAGACAGACAGACAGACACACACACACACACACACACATACACACACACACACACACACACACACACACACACACACACACGCACACAGAGCTCAGTTTCCAAACTCTCACCTCTCGAGGGCCATAAATCCAGTTGCTGGGCGGTTGTTAGGTAGTTCGGCTCAGCCAACTATCAAACATCAGCCAGGCAATTGCATTTACCTTCCTTCACTTGTGCTTCCTAGTCCGTGAGCCGTGGAGCCCTTCCTCTCCCTGGCCGCCTCATACACGTATGATTAAGCACGTACCAACTGCCTGCTGGATCATACCTCCAGTTACTATTGCTCCAATCTTACCAACAGTGTGACGGAGGGAGGATCAAGCACCCAACAATCCTTGTGTTGAATGAACCCACACGAGGTCTAAACTGTTGACCTCATATGGGGTCTGCAAGGAACCCACACCAGGTTTCAGCTGTTGACCTCATCTGGGGTCTGCAAGGAACCCACACGGGGTTTCAACTGTTGACGTCGTCTGGATTGTGTCATGAAGAATGGCAGCCTTGATGGTAGTCATTTCTTTCCGTCTCATAAACATGTAAGATGACAGTTAAATCTTGCAATTAATACTTACACAAGGTATACACTGCTTATGTATACATATGCAGTGTATAAATACGTGAGCATTCACACTGGTCTTGTCTATTAATTTTTTAATAGTCCCGTCTTTACAGTGTTTCAAATTCCATGGAGAAATGGGTTAGAATCCTTCCTCCGTAAGCCATGCGTGTCGTAAGACTAAAATACCAAGAGCAAGAGGTTAGTAACTCAATTGCGAGAAAATCAAATAAGATCATATTAAAGCCGAGTTTGTTGGAATGTGTTCGAGTGTAGAACAGAGAATATCATAGCATTAATTGTAAGTGTTACGATTGAAAACAAACTGGATGTCTTAGAACTAAGAGAAACTGTGCTAAAAGCGCTGGGAGAATTTTAATGAAGGGGAGAAGATGGGGAGTTAAATATAGTGTATTGAAAAGAACGAAAGTTAAAGGAGTATCGGAAAAGTTAAATAATGAACTGTGGAAAGGAACAAAGGGTAAAAAAAAAATAAATTAAAAGTGAGATGTGAGAAGCGAGTTAAAGTATTTATGAAGGTAAGGAAGAGAGAAGTGTGCAAGAGAAAGATTTGAGGAGATATAAAGTGAATGTTTACGAAATTTAGATTCAGGCGAGTGAGTGACTATGTTGAGGACGTGATTGTCAAGGTGGGAGAGGCTGTAGTAGATGGTGATGTTGTAAGTTTGGTGGGCCTGAGATAAATGATAACGGGGAGGCGTGTTTGGTGAAATTATATGTAGAATGAAAAGAACAGTTTGTTACAGTACAGTATGTAGAGTGTGGGTGAAGCAGTGGTAGGCGGAGTCACCAGTGGACACAGCCACTAGTGCAAGTAGGTTGTGTCTATATGTTTGACAAGTTCTGAAGAAATCCTGCATCGAGACCTTGATGTAGGCATCGAGACCTTGATGTAGGCATCGAGACTTTGATGTAGGCAACGAGACCTTGATGTAGGCAACGAGACTTTGATGTAGGCATCGAGACCTTGATGTAGGCATCGAGACCTTGATGTAGGCATCGAGACCTTGATGCAGGCATCGAGACCTTGATGTAGGCAACGAGACCTTGATGTAGGCATCGAGATCTTGTTGTAGGCATCGAGACCTTGATATAGGCATCGAGACCTTGATGTAGGCATCGAGATCTTGATGTAGGCATCGAGACCTTGATGTAGGCATCAAGACCTTGATGTAGTCATCGAGACCTTGATGTAGGCATCGAGACTTTGATATAGGCATCGATACCTTGATGTAGGCATCGAGATCTTGATGTAGGCATCGAGACCTTGATGTAGGCATCGAGACCTTGATGTAGGCATCAAGACCTTGATGTAGGTATCAAGACCTTGATTTAGGCATCGAGACCTTGATGTAGACATCGAGACTTTGATATAGGCATCGAGATCTTGATGTAGGCATCGAGACCTTGATGTAGGCATCGAGACCTTGATGTAGGCATCGAGACCTTGATGTAGGCATCGAGATCTTGATGTAGGCATCGAAATCTTGATATAGGCATCGAGATCTTGATGAAGCATCGAGACCTTGATGTAGGCATCGAGACTTTTATGTAGGCATCGAGATCTTGATGTAGGCATCGAGACCTTGATGTAGGCATCGAGACTTTGATGTAGGCATCGAGATCTTGATGTAGGCATCGAGACCTTGATGTAGGCATCGAGACCTTGATGTAGGCATTTCTTCAAAATTTGTCTAACGACCTGCTTCCACTAGTGGTCTTCTCCACTGGTGACTCCACCTACCACTGCTTCACCTACACGCTTCACTCTACCATGACTTCACATACCACTGCTTCACGTACCATGCTTCACCTACCATCTGCATTACCTATCTGTCATCAGTATACAAGGTCATATCGCCGCGATATATGCCCTATTGTAAGTGTGGAAAGACTTCAGAAGTGGTGTTTATCAGAGTGTCAGACAGACATCGTTATTTAGTTGTTGCTACAGTGAGAGTAAGAGGTAGATGTTGTACCAAGGAGGACTGTCATCATGGATAAAACTGAGCGAAAGTTAATAATTTAAAGTGAGATGTTTAAGATATAAGTAATCACTGACAACGTCCTATCATATTTTGTACATGTTTCATATCCCTTGACTCCGTCCTCTAGTCTCATCAGGATGGTTACTAACCCCTTAGCTCCGGACTAGTCTTGTTGCAAACCTTCTGTCACTTCTCTTCTAAATTTCTTTACATTTTGACCAGGTGTGGTTCACATGGTGCTGCATACTCCTATACGAGTTTGACGTGTACAGTGTGGTGAATGTCCTTACTTAGAATTAAAAGCTGGACTTAGATTTGCCAGACGCGCATTTCTGCAGCAGTTTGATATGTACATGTTACCTCAGTGATATGCTCAGTATAATACTTACCCCAGGTCCTTATCTTAATGAGTTTGCAAGTCTTTGACTCCAAGCTGTACTCCTGTACGGTTTTCTTTGCTTTTGCTCTAAACTCATAGTTTCGATAAGTTGTGGTGAGAGTATGTTAGCTTCATCATAACATGATAAAGCTCTATAATTTCGAGCGAAACGTTCGTGCCAAGGTACAGCAACTGGGTCTCACCTTGTCAGTTAATCTACCAGTACGACCTTATGCACAGTCACCAGTACGACCTTCGCCAGGTACCAGTTATCGACCTTCACTACAGTCACCAGTACAGACCTTAGCATCAGTCACCTGTAACACCTTACAAGCACCCAGTACGACCTTCAACCACAGTCTACCATGTACGACCTTCAATCCTTGATACATAATACCTTGATATGTTGCACAGAATCTACTGCAATAATTAACACTGCCACATTTCATTTTTAATTATATTCTTTCTCATTTGCCAGTCATTAGTTTTCTGAAGAGGGCGAGGGGGGGGGTGAGGGGGGGGTGAGGGAGGAGGGTGAGGGGGGAGGGTGAGGGGGGTGAGGGGGGGATTCCAGAGGATTTACCGTCTAATTAGTGAGAGAATCATTGCTACCTAAGAGACGAGGGATTTACCAAGTTTGATTGGATGTTGATATGGATTTAATTGCATATATAAGTGATTTTTGAAGTTATTTTTAAGAACTTCATGTGGGTTTATATATATATATATATATATATATATATATATATATATATATATATATATATATATATATATATATATATATATACCAGGCCACAAGTCACCATCTCCCTGGTCACCAGGTTACAGGTCACCAGGTCACGGGTCTCAGGTCACCATGTCACTGGCCACCAGGTCACAGATATCAAAATCAGAAAAAGTCGTAGCGCGGCTTAAACTCGATTAATTTTACAAATCAAATGGGATTCGTCTGACCTGCGCTAGTCTTGAGTTGCCTCTGAGAACTCGCGGAGAGCGTAGAGCGCGAACGGCGGGGCAACGCAAATACGCGGAGCTCCTTTAGAGATTTAGTAAGTCGTAATTCCTTCTGTGTGGAGCTTTGTTAAGTAAGGACTCGACGAGGCTCTACACAGAGTGAAACATAACTTGATAAAGCTCTACGCAGAGTGAAACATAACTTGATAAAGCTCTACGCAGAGTGAAACATAACTTGATAAAGCTCTACGCAGAGTGAAACATAACTTGATAAAGCTCTACACAGAGTGAAACATAACTTGATAAAGCTCTACACAGAGTGAAACATAACTTGATAAAGCTCTAGACAGAGTGAAACATAACTTCATAAAGCTCTACAGAATGAAACATTACTTCATGAAGCTCTACCGAGTGACACATGGCTTGATAAAGCTCTACACAGAGCGAAACGTGTATAGGTAAAGCTCTACATAGAACGAAACATGACGTGATAAATTCTCTACAAAGAGCAAAACGTTGCCCAGTTAAAAATCTTTTTTGTACTCATTTGTTCTCCACTACGACTGTCATTATTTACCACCGAATTCGTTGCTTAGTGAGCTAAGGTCGCTAGTTAGCCTACTAAAGCAAGGCACATACGGACGGTAAGAGTAATGACGTACATGAACGGCAAAGAACGTAGGGTAATCGTGAACGTACGGTTGAGAACACTTGTAGAACGTAATCAGTGTGTTGGAAATTCGTGTAGAAGGTACACGATCTGTGTGTGTGTGTGTGTATGTGAGAGAGAGAGAGAGAGAGAGAGAGAGAGAGAGAGAGAGAGAGAGAGAGAGAGAGAGAGAGAGAGAGAGAGAGAGAGAGAGAGAGAGAGAGAGAGAGAGAGAGAGAGAATCGACGCACCAATTCAATTCACCAAGGGGAAAAAATCTGGCACTTCGAC